ACACGTGGGAGCAATTCCGCGAGGAGTTCAAGAAATCCTTCTTCCCTACCAACGTCATATACGAGGTTAAGCGTAAGTTCAGGGAGTTGAAGCAAACAGGAAGCATACGGGCGTACGTAAAGGAGTTCACAACACTAACGCTTCAGATTCCCAACCTCACGGACGAGGACATGCTGTTCCACTTCATGGACGGACTGCAAAATTGGGCCAAAACGGAGTTGGAGCGGCGGCAAGTCAAGACCATAGACGAGGCCATCACACAAGCCGAGTCCTTGACGGACTATAAACATGAACGGCATGACAAGGCTAAAGGCAAGGATGCAAGGGGCAGTCATGCTAAAGGTGGGGGAGATCGCGGCCGAGGCAAGGAGCAGCAGGCGCACCCAAGACAGCCCGACTCCCACAAATCAGACGGCAAGCGGTTCGTGCGCCAGAACTACACGGATAGGAAGGCGCAGACCACCAAAGGAGATGGATGCTACATATGCGGAGGACCACACGGCTACGCCAGGTGCCCGGAGATGAAGAACCTTGGCGCCATCCTACGCGAGCGAAAGGAGAAGGACGCGCAAGAGCAAGGACAAGATGCGGGCACGACGCAACTGGGCATGGTAGGACTATGCGGGGCAATAGCCAAGCAGACGGAGAAGCCAGGAAACTTCAGCACGCAGTATGTAGACATCTCCATTAATGGACGCGCGGCTCGTGCCATGGTGGACACTGGGGCAGAAACAAACATCATGACCAAGATGGCGGCAGAGAGGTTAGGACTGAAGTATGCTCCAAGCAACACCCGCCTCAAGACGGTCAATGCACCACCGACCCCCGTGTGTGGAATCGCGCAAGGAGTGAGCATCACGATTGGAGATTGGCAAGGTAAGACAAACTTTACCGTCGCTCCTTTAGATATCTTTGACATTATTCTTGGGCAGGAGTTCTTCCAGCGCTGCCATACTATGATCGACCCCTACCTCCAACGACTCCTTGTCATGGAGCGGGAAGGGTCGTGCATGGTACCTCTAGTCAAGGTACCGAAAAAGGAAGAACATGCCCTCTTGTCGGCCATGCAGATCGCGAAGGGCCTGAAGAAAGGAGAACCGACGTTCCTAGCCACCATCGCAAGTTTGGGTGAAGACAATGGTGCTAGGGAGACCTTGCCACCGATCATAGAGAAGGTCCTTGAAGAGAACAAGGACGTGATGCCAGACGAGCTGCCAATGACTCTACCTCCGAGGCGCGAGGTAGACCATAAGATAGAA